AGTAAGGCGGTGGGAGCAGGTCCCCCTTCTCCAGACCGCTGAAAAAGTGACCCCAGCTCCAAGATAACTCCCGAGGCAGAGCTGCTGGGCCTGGCCCAGTTCCTCCCCAGCACCATCATCTCCAGGCTGTTTCCCTGCCATAGGTCCGGTGCTCTGGAACAGCCCCTGGGAGGAGCTCTTTAGCGTGGCAATCCCCTTAGGGTCACACTTTTTCCAATGAGGAAAGCCACTTGGCTTCACCGCCTCCTGACTCTGAATCTCAGAGCCTTCAGCACCCCTGCTTCACATCAGCAAGCCCACCTGAGCTGACACCCAAGGGAGACTTGTATGCCCAAGGGAGCCGTGTACCCCCACTTCCTTACTCTGGAGTGACTCAACCAGCATTGTAAAAGCAGTGGGGTTTATTACAGGGGTAGTCAACAGGCGGACCGTGGGCTAAAACTGGACCACCTGATGCTTTTGAGCAGATCCTGAAATATGTTTATTTATTTATTATCATGATTGTTGTTTTTTATTATTTTCTCTGAAGTCTGGACCTTGACTATGCCTTGACCAAGAAATTTGGACCTTAATAAAAAATAATTGACTCTCCCTGGTTTTTTACATGTCTGGAACACAGCGCAGACAGTTATTGGTTAACACAGAGAACGGAAAGGTCCATCTGGGTCGGTCCTAGAGCCCTCTGTAGTCCCAGTGCAGAAGCTGCTCTCCTGCCTCCAGCAGCCCACACATAGAACCCCACCCCAGTCCTTTGTCCTTCAGCTTGGCACACTGGAGGACAGGCTATCCATGGTCATTTGTTGTTTGGAGCCAAATGTCCAGGCCACTGTCTTCTGGGACACTCCATGGGCTTGGGACCCCAGGCAGCCAGCTGTCCCTCATGCCTGAATCTCTGGGTCTCTACAAGTAAACACTCCTCACCTAGTTAACCATGGGTAAGGCTAAGATTTTGTCACAGATATTTTAAGTAAAAGTCATGGACAGGTCACGGGCTTCCGTGAATTTTTCTTTATTGCCCGTTACCTGCCATGACTTTTACTAAAAATATCCCTGACAAAATGGAGAGCTCAGCTGCAGGGTCCCCACACCGCTTGCAGCGGCTGGGCAGCTGTGGGGGCTCGCTGGTTGCTCCGAGGGCCTGCACCGCCCATGGTAGCCAGGAGCTCCCCAGCTGTCTGCAGCTCCCAGCCGCTGCAAGATGAAGTCACGGAGGTCTCTGGAAGTCACGGATTCCGTGGCTTCTGCAACCTCTGTGAAAAACTCGTAGCCTTAGCCATGTGTAACCCATGCCTGCTTGGTGTGGCGCTCTGTCCCCCTTTAGTGGCACCTAGACCAGCTAAAGAGGTATTAGCCTCCCACAGCCGTGGAGAAGAGAAACAGGTCTTTTAGCTCATGCATTAAGCTCCACAGGTCCCCAGCTTTGATCCCCGCTGACGACAACTAGGGTCTGTTGGTGTTAAACATGCACCACCTAGGGGACACTGAGGTGCACATACTATTCATCCAAAATATTATGAAAAATTCCCTCTGCACAAGAATCTCATTATCAGGCAGTTCCCTGGCTCTAACCCAGGGCTGGTCAGACACACACAGGGAGATCTGTAACTGCAGAGAAGCTGTCCCAGCCATGCAGATAACTGTTCCTTACCCTGTACTCCTGGGCAGCCTCCTCAATGGGAACCACCATGTGAGCGCGCTGAGCTCGGGATCTGTCACAAACCACGCAGATGGGTGTTTGATCCTCCTCGCAGAAGAGTTTCAGAGCCTCCTGGTGCCTCTCACACACTCGCTGCCCCTCTGGCTCTGGCCCCGCCTGCAGCCTCAGACGTTTCACTAACTCCACCAGGTTCCCCAGCTGCCTGTTGGGCCGCAGGTCTCTCTGCGGGGCCATTTCTCTGCACTGGGGGCAGGAGAAGTCTGGCTCCGGCTACCCCCAGCACTGGCTGATGCAGGCCCGGCAGAAGTTGTGCCCACACTCAATAGACACCGGGTCTGTGAAATAGTCCAGGCAGAGGGAGCAAGTCACTTAGTGCTGGATGCTCCCGGCCAGGTTCCCGGCAGCCATGGCCCCTCCGCACCCGGGACCCAGCTGCTGTGGGTTAGTTTCACTTTCCTGCGCTCAGAGGAGCCTGTTTGGTTGGGCTGAGGTGTTTCCTTCCTGCTGCTCTCAGCAGGGCCTGCGGTGAGTCACCTCCATGTCACAGCCAGGGCCGGCTCCAGGCACCAGCGCAAGAAGCAGGTGCTTGGGGTGGCCAATGGAAAGGGGTGGCACATCCGGCTCTTCGGCGGCAATTTGGCAGCGGGTCCCTCACTCCCTCTCAGTAGGAAGGACCTGCCGCCGAAGAAGTGAAGAAGGAAGCGGAGGCGGTAGAGCTGCCACCGATCACTGTCTTTTTTTTTTTTTTTTTTTGCTGCTTGGGGCGGCAAAAATGCTGGAGCCGGCCCTGATTAACCCAGCAGCCCTATGACACCCCTTGAGCAGCCTCTGGGAGCCGTGCTGAGACCCTGGATATCGTCACCATTGGGGAACGATGGTTGGTCCAGGAAGCTCTTGTAGCCAGTCACTACGATAGATGTGTCTGTGGACATTGCTAAGCTGGTGTGCAGGAGGGTCTGTGACGGGGATGCTGACCAGTGCCTGATAAAGGAATTTACAGCCCTGTGACACACAGTGACCAGCGCCAGAGACACCTTTATCTGCCCTGATAGGGCCCCACTCAGCATTACCCAGCAGGGCTGCGTCTGTGCAGTAAGAAGAGGAGATAGCAGGGGGAAGGGGCTTGGGGAATTCCTAGGTCCCCTCAGGGCCATTAACTGTGTTATCTGACTCTGAGATGGGAACATCCTGGCATTTCCAGCCTTGGGGGGAGTTTCTGCCCATGGAGGGGAGTGGAACAGGCACAGGGGGCAGCATGGGGGCAGGAGTGAGAGCACCAGGGTCCTGCTGTATGGGCTGCAAACTCAGCCATGTAGGGGAGCTGGTCCCAGTGCTATGGTGGGAGGGGTGGGAGTGGGGAAGAGCTGGGGAAGGGATTCGGTGGCTGGGCCAGGGGAAGGTGAGTGAGAGCCCAGCCCCAGGACTGTGCGAGCAGCGATGGGCCCAGGCTGGGTAAATGGCACCAACTCATGGGAAGGGGCCCCCAGGCAGTTTGTCTCCTGTTCTCGCCACATGTTCACCCGACCACCATGCGGCTCCTCCCCAACTCCACGTCCTTCACCTGGGCACCTTCCTGTCAGCCACACACCTGCCCCCTCTCCTCGCCCCGCTCTGTACCCCGCAGCTCCCCCCCTCGGTGCTGCCTCTCGGGAGGGAGCTGAGGAGCCAGAGCTGGGCGAGTGTCGTGCTGGGGTCAGGCAGGGGAGGCTGGAAGCAGGTTGGCTTTGCAGTGTTAGAAGGGTTTCATCGTACACTCTTAGTGACATGGCTGATTCAGCAGAGGGTGCAAAGCCACACACACTGTGAGAGTCATGAGAGCCTCACAGACATTCACTTTCCTTTGTGTTTCTCTCTGTGTAACACAACCAGGCGCCAGCACGGCTCCTGTGTATGCTGAGATGTTGGTGCTGGGTGTGACATTAACCCCTATCATTTCACAGCCCCAGTAATGCTGTCATTCAGATCCACATTAATTTATTCTTGTTTCCTGGCCTGGCTGCCTGACAACAAGCAGAACCGGGAATCGGGACCATGCAGGGACAGAGCTGGTTGGGCTGGCCCGGGCCCGCCATTTCCCACGGCCCCAGCGGGAGGCCAGCAGCAGAGAGGTCAGTGCAGACCAGGGACATGGGCTGGGAAGGTGCTGTGGAGGCAGAGGTGAAAGTAAGCCGGTGCGGTCCGGTCCGGTGTACCTGCAAGAGCCAGTAAGCCATGCCGGACCGCACTGGCTTCTGCGGGCGGGATGTAAAGAGCTCAGAGCTACCCGCTGCGGACGGATTTAAAGGGCCCGGAGCTCCGCGGCGGCTGAGCCTGGGACCTTTAATTTGCCCCTGAGTCCCAGGGGCTCCCAGCCACCTCTGCAGCTGGGAGCCCCGGGTTGATTTAAAGGCCCTGGGGCTCCCAGCCACAGCCGGTGCCCCAGGGCCTTTAAATCTTGAGAGGCCCCGCCTCTCCCGGATGAGGCCACGCCCCCCTCAGGACTCCGGCAGTACCAGTAAGTCCCGTAAGTTACTTTCACCCCTGTGTGGAGGGGACTCCCAGGATGGAGTCAGAACCGAGGAGGGAGTGGGGTCCCTCACTCACAGAGCTGCTGATCGGGGTCACTGCAGGGAAGCCACTCCCAGGCTGTGGGAGAAACTCCTGCAGGAGGTGGGAACAGCCCCAAACATCCACACGCTGGGTTCCCAGCGCCAAGTGACATCTCAGACCTGCCTCCAGTCACCTGCGCACAGAGCGCGGCAGGCACCACATCCACCAGTGGATAAACAGATTTAAAATCCCTGCCCCTGTGGAGAGAGGGGATTGGGAGGGAATCCCAGGGGACGAATGCCAGTCGTGTGGCTGGTGTCCGGCCAGACGGTGCTGTAAGGACTGAATAGAACAGAACAGAACATGGAGGAGCGGTGCTGTCTGGCTGCTAACGGGGCAGTTGGCCGGATCTCAACTGACGGCTAAACTCCCAACTACTCATTAAATACTGATATAAAATCCTCTGCAGCCTGTGCCCCATTTCTACAAAAGATAAAATAATTACCTCACCACAGCCTCCCAGCCGCCAATCACTTGCCCCTCCCCGCTGCTGCCTCCCCCAACTCGCCAAAGGAGCTTCCTGCTCCATCCCACTCCCTGCCCAGGCATCACCCACGGCTCCCTGCCTGCCATTAGG